CAAGCTAACAAACATTCCATCTACAATAACTCACTCTAACATGGATGGATCCACTCCTTCACTTTGCATCTTCAACTTCACCGCAGGCTCAACGACACCCTGAAATCTGCCCAGTGAACTCGTAGATAATTTTTTTCTTTCGAAGCATCAGCTGAATGTATGGATGACAGCCAGCTTCCTGATGCACAACACAATGTACGAATGCAGAACACTCACAAAGAAAACAGCCCCAATTTGACCCACATTTCCATCTTCGAAGGACAATTATTAAATAAAACCCTGAGTTACGAAAGCTCACGCAGCCATACAACCTCACCAATTTAAGCATCCTGAAATATTTCGCAAAAGCTGGGTCGTCCTTGACGAGAAGCACCTTAGAGGCATTTTCGTTGCTTTCACGCTTGTGTGCTTCCGATTGGATGGTTTCAGCTACTGAAGCTATAGCAGCCTGAAACAATGATGAAACTTCTAGGTAGATACAAACGCTAGAGCCTGAGGAGACACCTGTGGATTTTCCTTTACGTCTGCATTCTGTGAAGCTGCGACCTTCGGCTCATTCACAACTGGTGGTGCCTAAATCATCATAGAGAATCTCCTATGTAGCGTTCATGGCCACAAGCTGATCAATTCAGACCAGGAAAAGCTTGTTACATGAGTAACTTCATAAAAAAAACACAGAAACTCGAAATAATGAAAACCCGCCGGAGAGAAGGCAGCCGTCTGACGTGAGCTTTCTGACTGCAGTTCCGTGGTATCAGGAATCGAATCTGGTATTGAAGCTAACTAAAAAATAATAATTTGGAATTAAAACAGTAGAAAACAAGAACATATAAATAGTAGAAGGGGCCGTATGCTATACGAGCTGGGATTGGTGGAAATACTTAATCAAACCAGACTTAGATTCTGTTTTCCACAACTGATAGCTCACAAAAGGGGACTGATGGAGGGAAGGATTGTGTTAGCAGTCAAACTGCATAATATCTATAGAACTAAGCTAATAAAAGCACTCAAGCAGATCGAATCTTCTCAATGCCTCCGGAGAAATAATACATGCCTAGACCCTGAACAAATGAATTCAAAGAAAAATTATCACATTGTAAGGGAAGTTTGTGCTCGTCTTGCTAATTCAAATTGAAGTGATTTCCAAAAACTTCCGGAAACTTTTGGTTCCGAATTTACCCTCTGTTTTCAAAACCAGAACTGTGTCGAGTGCAGATGGCATACCCCGATCAGTGACGAGCCTCAAGAATTCTGGAAAGTAGCGTAACATAATGTTAACCTGATTTTTTGTAAGTTAAATACCATTTGATTACGCAACTAACCTGATAGGTACAAGACTGAACAGGCTGATTCATTTCAATGGGTAAGAAAACATTTACATTTGTGAAGTGGTGTGTGGCCTGCGCTCGACGCGCTTCTAGTTCTCTGAAACAGAGGGTACAAAAATATGCTACCCAATGGGTAGTTTGGTAATTTTGCAATGGCGAGAACCTTGAAGATGATGGTGGTGGTGGCCAGACATCCATTGTTGACAAAGATTATTTAAATATTTTGATCAAGAGTAGCTCGCGTCCGAAATAAGCGATACGGAGCATTCGAAGAAGAATTTGGATGTCCAAAAAAAGTCGAGTCGAGTGAGCGCTGCTGATCCTTATCCAGGAAGCTGCTATGCACAGCCAACTTCGCACAGGCTTTGAAACTTTGAAGTTTTTACAAACAGGTCTCCAGCCTACCGACTGCCCATGATACGGATAGCTTCCTCAGAGAGAACAAGATGCTAAATGTCTTGCGCCAAGTTTATGGCTTTCGTAACTCCATCAAGGCGAGAAACTGCTTTATCAAGCTTTCCTCTTTTGAGCGAATGTATGTAGATTGTAATTTTTATTTCGATAGAAGATGTTTTGTTCGAACCGAGATATGCATATTAGAAATTTGAAGTCTAGAACAGCAAGACTTTTCCTTACAGCCTCATAACTTTATACCTTAGCCTCCAATAGCTGCAATTTGATGTCAGCGGCACGAAGCTGCCGCTCTGCCTCTAGGATCGCACGTTCCGCTCGATTTGCAAAAGCATTGAGGAAATCGATCATCTTGTAGAGGTAGCAGTTCACGAACGCAACAACACGACGTCGATTGAGCGGAGCTACCTCAAAAGGAAAATTTTGTCTTCCCCATCCAGCTGCAACCTGTCAGCACAACAGCAGCCAGAACAACCGGCAGCCTCGTACTGGCTAGTACGTATCACTAGTATTACATGTGCGTCATATGGATCCGATCCATCCATTTAATTTCTAGCCAAGGTCAGCCATCCATTGGGCTAAAAGCAGCAATGGGATTCTAGAGGATGTCGCGGTGGAGGAAGTCGAGGTGTCACATTCTAGTGAAGCCATTGGAGTCGTTTCATTTTTTTTCGCATATTTCCAGGAAATACGTATGGAATGGTAATGAGCACATGGTGTTGCTTTAGTCATAGTAACAGCCCTGTTGGTGAGGGTGGTGGTTTATGTTTTGAGGAGGAGTGGATCCCACAGGCGAACCCCTTGCGGCTGGTGGTGTGGTGGGAGATCGTGTCCAACCTCCCCAAGAAGAGGGTCGTGAAAAATGCTGAAAGCGCACAACGGACGATTGACTCTGTTTGCAGCTTGAAGAGAGCAGAATAAAAAGGGAAAAAAGAATTGTCTGACCTCTGAGAGATCTATGTCCGACTTTATAAAACTTAGATCCGGTTCATTCATGATTTGAAGTCCAAGCCTGAATAGTATTAACGAAGTTGTATTTCGTTCTTGAACTATTTAGTACTGTGCGGAAAACCAAAAACACAACTAAATTTAGCTGGACAAAATCTTTATTCTTTACAAGGATATCACTGAATGCATATGGCATTATTTCCAAAACAACTAATCACACATCATTCGACAAAAATACAATAGACAAAAAATCACAACGCAAGTGAGAGCAGTAGCAGCAAATCAATTAACACTGGGTAACGACTGAAAAAAATTCATGAAAAAGACCAAGGAAGAAACAGAGTGGGTGGAAATCGCCACTTTTCTTCAAAATATTTTCAAAAAGCCAAATGAATATGTCAAACTCCACG